TATAAATCCACTTTATATATAAAGACACATATAGGTTAAATGTGACAAGATGGAAATAATACAACATACAAACACTAATTATAATTAAGCTGATGTGGCCATATTAACATCAGACAAAGCAGACTTCAGAACAAGGAATATTAACAGAGAAAAAGAGAAGTAGCCCATAATGATACAGGGTTCTATGTATTAATAAAATATAGGCCTGGCATGGTGGTTCATGCCTGTAATCCCAGCACTTTGGGAGGCCGAGGCAGGCAGATCACGAGATCAGGAGATCGAGACCATCCTGGCTGACACAGTGAAACCCATCTCTACTAAAAATACAAAAAATTAGCCAGGCGTGGTGGCAGGTGCCTATAGTCCAGCTACTCCGGAGGCTGAGACAGGAGAATGGCGTGAACCCAGGAGGCAGAGCTTGCAGTGAGCCAAGATCACAACACTGTACTCCAGCCTGGGCGACAGAGTGAGACTCAGTCTCAAAAAAAAAAGAAAAAAAAATTTAATGTTCCCAAATACATATGCAGACAATAACAGAACTTGGAAATATATAAAGCAAAAACTGACAAAAGGAGAAAGAAGTAAATTCACAACTATAACTGGCTACCTCAACACTCCTCTTTCAGTAATTGATAGAACAAGTAGACATAAAATCAGTAAAGATATAAAAGATTGAAAAACAAACTTTATCTAATATATATTTATAGCATATTCCATGAAAACACTGAAGAAATCATTATTTTAAGTACATATAAAACATTCATAAAGATAGACCATTATGAATCATAAAAAACTCAATAAATTTAAAAAGACTGAAATAATACAAAGTATGTTCTCTGACCTGAATAGAATTAAATTAGAATTCAATTGCAGAAAAAAAAAATCTGAACCACTCCCACCCCAAGCTATTTGAAATTTAAATAACACACGTCGAAAATAACCCATGGGTCAAAGAAGAAATCACAAAGTAAATTAGAAATACTTGATTAAAATGAACATCAATGTGTCAAAATTTGTGAGAGACAGAGTGATGCTTAGAGGGGAAAAGTACAGGTTTAATTGCTTACATTAGAAGAGAAAAAAGACCAAAAAGTAAGAGTAAATTAAACCCAAAGAAAGCTGAAGAAAGAAAATACAGAGGAGAGCATAAATCAATAGAATAAAAAATAAAGAAAAATCAATGAACTCAAAAGTTTGTTTTTTGAAAAGATAAATAAAATTGGTAGATTTCTAAGTAGACTACTCAAGAAAAAAATTACCAGTATCAAGAATAAAAGGGAAGCTATTACAACAGCACTTATCGGCATTAAAAGGATAATAAGGAATATTATGAACAACTTTATGCCAAAAAAATTTAATAATTTACATAAAATGGACAAATTCTTTGAAAAGCATAAATTACCAAAACTGACTTATACAGACATTTTGAAACATCAGAACAGGACTGTATCAAATCAATTGAACTTGTAATTAAAAACCTTCTCAAAACAACAACAACAACAAAGATTTAAAAACTCCAGACAGGTTTACTTTGAAATCTATCAAACTTTCAAGGAAATAGTAATACCAAATCTATACAAACTCGTTCAGAGAATAGAGGAGGAAGACACATTTCCCAACTTAGTCTATGAAGTCAGCATTCTACTGATATCAAAACCAGACAAAGACATTACAAAGAAAGAAACCTACAGGCCAGTCCAGTGTCTCTCAAGAATGAACACAGACGCAAAAATGTTTAACAAAATGCAATCAAATTGGATTCAACAATATATAGGTGTGAGGGGGCGGGGGGTGTATTCAGGAATGTAGCATTCACTTAACGTTCAAAATGAGTCAATGGAAAATAGTGTTTCATCTGGAAACTGCAAAATTAATAACAAAATAAAATACATAAACACTGAATAAAATGAGTCAATGTAATTTACCACATTAATAGAATAAAGGAGAAAACTCATAAGGTCATCCCAATATATACAGATAAAGCATTTTACAAAACCGAACTATTTGCGGTGAAAACTGCTGTAGTTTGGATGTGGTTTGTGCTCACCAAAATTCATGTTGAAATTTGATTCCCAATGTGGTAGTGTCAGGAGGCGGAGCCTAGTGGGAGGTGTTTGGGTCATGGGGGCAGATCCCTCATGAATAGATTACTTTCTTCCCAAGGGGTTGTTAAAAGAGTTGTTAAAAAGAGTCTTCCCCACCCCATCTCTCTCTCTCTCTCTCTCTCTCTCTCTCTCTCTCTCCACTCTTGTCATGTGACCTCTGCACATGCTGGCTCCCCTTCTGCTTCTGCTTTCAGCCATGAGTGGACTAGATGAAGTTGCCCAATCTTGAACTTCCCAGCTGCCAAAATTGTGAGCCAAATTAACCTCTTTTCTTTAAAAGTTACCCAGCCTCTAGTCTTCTGTTATAGCAACAGAAAACAAAGACCAAAACTCATAGCAGGCCAGGTGCAGTGGCTCTTGCCTGTAATCCTAGCACTTTCAGAGGCTGCGGTGGGTGGTCACCTGAGTTCAGGAGTTTGAGACCATCGTGGCCAACGTGGTGAAACCCCGTCTCTACTAAAAATACAAAAAATTAGCTGGGTGTGGTGGCGGGTGCCTGTAATTCCAGCTACTCTGGAGGCTGAGGCAGGAAAATTGCTTAAACCTGGGAGGCAGAGGTTGCAGATCGCGCTACTGCTCTCCAGCCTGGGCAAGAAGAGCGAAATTCCATCTCAGAACAACAAACTAACAAACAAACAAACTCATAGCAAACTAAGGGTGGAAGGGAATTTCCTTAATCCAAGGAAGGGCACCTGTGAAAAACCTACAGCTACCATCATACTTAATGGTAAAAGACTGAATGTTTCCCTTGAGAAAAAGACGAGGATGTCTATCTTATCATCTCTTTAGCATTGTACCAGAGGGTTGATCCCAGCCAATAATAGGGGAAAGGCATAGAGAATGGAAAGGAAAAGGAAAACTATTTTTAGACACGTACACCATGACTAGGCTTGTAGAAAATCCTGAGGAACCTACAAAATATATAACTAGAACTAATAAGCAAGCATAGCAATGTTGCAGGATACAACAGCAATATCAAAAATCAATTTTGTGAAAAACAAGGTAAATATCTTAAAATGAAGTCAATAAGAAAAAAGAAAAAATCATTTTTGTGCCTACAAAGTAGTAGTGAAAAGTTGGAAATAGAAATAAAAAATATGACTTACAAGAACATCACAACCACGAAACACTTTCAGATAATTTTCACAAATATCTGCAAAACCTATTTACTCATAAAATTATTACTGCAAAAAATAAAAATAAAAATCCTGCCAATTTTTTTTTTTTTGGAGACTGAGTCTTGCTCTGTCCCAGGCTGGAGTGCCGTGGTGAGATCTCAGCTCAGTGCAACCTCCCCCTCCCAGGTTCAAGCAATTCTCCTGCCTCAGCCTCCTGAGTAGCTGGGATTACAGGTGCATGCCACCACGCCTGGCTAATTTTTGTATTTTTAGTAGAGATGGGATTTCATCATGTTGGCCAGGCTGGTCTCAGACTCCTGGCCTTAGGTGATTTCCCCTCCTCAGCCTCCCAAAGTGCTGGGATTATAGGCTTGAACCACAAAGCCTGGCCAATTTTGTTGAAATTTAAATAGAACTAAATAAATGAAGGGGCATACCATGTTCATGGATTAGAAAACTCATATTAAGATGTCAATTCTCCCCAAACCAATCTATGCATTCAATGTAATCCCAAATTCCATCAGACCTTTCCATAGAAACCAGTCAGCTGATTCTAAAATGTATATGGAAATGCAGCAAACCTAGAAAAGCAGAAATCAGCCAGGCGCGGTGGCTCAAGCCTGTAATCCCAGCACTTTGGGAGGCCGAGGCGGGCACATCACGAGGTCAGGAGATCGAGACCATCCTGGCTAACACGGTGAAACCCCGTCTCTACTAAGAAATACAAAAAACTAGCCGGGCGAGGTGGCGGCGCCTGTAGTCCCAGCTACTCAGCAGGCTGAGGCAGGAGAATGGTGTGAACCTGGGAGTCGGAGCTTGCAGTGAGCTGAGATCCGGCCACTGCACTCCAGCCTGGGCGACAGAGCGAGACTCCGTCTCAAATAAAAAAAAAAAAGAAAGAAAGAAAAGCAGAAAGTGTTTTGAAAAAGGACAAAGTTGAAGTACTTACCTACCTGCTTCCAGGACTGGCTGTAAAGCTACAGCAGTGAAGATGTGGTGCTGTTGCATAAGGATAATACACAGATCAATGGGACAAAACAGAGTCTAAAAATAGACCCACATAACCACGGTCCATTGATTTTTGACAGAAGTCCCAAAGAAGCCAATGGGGGAAAGAAAAGCTTTTTCAACAAAGAGTACTGGAATTGGGCTCCCACAGAAAGAAAGGAAAAGCCCTTATCTCATAGTATACAATCCCCACCCATTGGTTTCCATCCCCATCGGACCGTCCTCTCAGCCTCAGAGTGGGCCCCACCCAGCCATCCTAGTCATCCTGCCTCCATCCCAATTTCACCCTTCTCTTATCCCCGCAGCGGAGGGTCAGGTGGGGAGGAGGTGGTCAGGGGAGGCTTCCTGGAGGAGGATGAGAAGGACCTGGATGAAGGAAGGAGCAGCATGCTCAGGGCAAAGGCATAGAGGAGAGATTCTGGATGAGGGGCACTTCTGAATCCAGCCCAGACACTCCTTTCTGGGGTTCAGTGTGGGCAGGCAGCTGCATTCCCAGGTCCACAGGGTGCAGTGGTGGCTGGAGGAGGGGGAGTTTGCAATAGTGGGCCACAGGGCTCTAGTCCCATGCTCTCCTCCCTGACGAAGACAGAGATGGCACATGTCAGTCTGTAGGTAACTGTGAGCTGGGAATGTAGCCAAAATAGTTGGTGGCAGAACTACAGCTAGTTCGTGACACAACGGCCGCAGGGGCCACACGCCACCCTGAGCTGGCAGGTTTTCATGGGGTCACAGTCATTGCCGTCCTCTGCCCTCTGCCTGTCCCCTTCAGGTGGCTGGGCCTTCCTGGTCCCCTGCCTGGCTGCGGTGGAGGCCAAGGACAGCCAGGACCCGGGGAAGACGCAGTTCTGTGATGGCCAGGCCTGTGGGCACCAGGAGTAGAGGGAAGGAAGGATGGCTGGGGCTGGGGGCTGGGAGCAGAGGGATGCTCAGCCACCTGCTGTGGTGGACGGCTGATGAGCTGTGCCAGAGACGCTGGGGTGGGCAGAGGACTGGGGAAACTGCAGTCTCCCAAGGCGGTCGGGAGCTGGCCTGGCCCAGGGAGGCCCCTCTGCTGGGGAACAAGGCCGAGGCCCGAGAGTGACGCAGCCTCCCGAGGCCACGCCGCCGGCGAGGGGCCAAGCCTGACGCAGCCTCCCGAGGCCACGCCGCCGGTGAGGGGCCAAGCCTGACGCAGCCTCCCGAGGCCACGCCGCCGGCGAGGGGCCAAGCCTGTCCTTCCCGAGTGCAGCACCACTTCCAGGACACACACGTGGTTCTCAGTGCTGGGGGCCGGAGCAGCCCCCGCCGGTCTGGCCAGGACTCAGTGCAGGAAGGGACCGCCCCAGGCAGGGACCGCCCCAGGCAGGGCCCTGTGAGGGACCTGGTGCCCTCACGGCTCTGGCAGCTGGCATCCAGTTTTGAGCCACCCCAGTTTTGTTTTGTTTTTTTCTTTTAATGTTTAAAGAATGCAGCTGTATTCACGTCCATCGGGACAGCTCAAAAGGTAGTTGATAAATCTATTCAAATTTATTTTCCTAGTAGAAGCCCTGAAGGGGTTGTTTCCTGTTTGTTGAAATGAAATCCACGTAGCGTGAAGCGGGCTGTTTCAAAGCGTGCGATTCAGCGGCGGTTAAGTGAACTCACACTGCTGTACAGCCGCCGCCCCCTCTCTCTGGCTCCAGAGCGTTTTTGTCACCTCACAAGGGGACCCTATCCCACTCCCCCGCGTAATCCCCGCCTCAGCACTGCAGTTGCGTTTCTGTCTCTGCGGATTTGCCTGTCCGGACGTTCCCTATAAACAGAAGCCTACTCCTCGAGGCCTTTGTGTCCGGCTTCTCTCACTGGCATGCCGTCTTCAAGACTCGTCCACGCTGCAGCCTGTTCCAGAGCCTCATTCCTCTTGAAGCTGAATCACGGTTCATGTGTGGCGGGACCACAGTTTGCATGTCCGTGCTCTGCTGATGGCACTGGGTGGCCTCCCCCGTGGCTGGCGTGGCTTGTGCTGTGATGGACGCTGTGTGCACGGCTTTGTTCTAGTCTGGGATGCACCGGGCATGGGAGGCGGGGTCCTGTGGGAGTCAGTCCAGCTTACCAGGAGGCAGGTGCCCTGCACGGCGCCTGTGCCTCCACGCTGGACACAGACACGGGCCGGCAGGTTCAGACGAGCTTTTGCCCCGTGTGCTCGTTCTTGCTGCCGGCCTGGCTGACACGAAGTGCAGGACACATCAAGGGAAGCGACCACAGCCTTTCCACGGGGAGCTCCACTCCTGAGGACGCAGTCTGGGTGTCTGAGCCCAGAGGCCCCTGGGAGAGGCGTGGGAGCTGCCAAAGCTGTCTTGGCCCCTGAATGTCCTGAGGGGCCCCCGGTGATGTGAGCTGGGGATTCTGAGCCCAAGGATGCCGTGTGCGGCCTGAGGGGCTCTGCGAGGCACCCTGCGGCCTGGCCTTGTCTCTCAGTGAGTTCCTGGAGGTGGCACAGCCGGGGCTGGGGAGTCATTTGCTGTTGAGACCCGGCCCATGAACAGCAGGAGGGCTGCCGAGCTCTCGCACAGGCTTGGAATTCTCTCCCCAGCCGGCCTGGTTGGACTGCGGCCAGAAGTTGGGTGGCTGAGGCACTTCTGAGCCTTTTCCTTGCGCCCTCCAGACCCTGCTGCACCCGCTAGGCGCCGGCCACACCTGCCCTCAGCACCTGCAAGGCACCTGCTGGCTCTGCAGCTGTGGAGGCCCTCTCTGCATGCTCCGTCCCCCTCGGCTTCCTGCCTCAAACACCATCTTCTCAGAAACAGATCACACCCACCGCCACTACAGCAGGACAACCTGAGCCGGGGGCTGAGGACTCGACGTCCCCCCAGGCGAGCTGTGGTGGGTGCCTGGGGGCGGGGGTCAGAGCTGTCCTGGGCAGGAGTCAATGGGAGAGAAGGTTGGGGTGTGGCTGGACTGCTCTGGACAGTGGCTGTGGCTGCCAGAGCCCAGGGGCAGGGATGGGGTGTCCAGACCCACAGCCCGGCCTGCACAGGCGTCAGGGCTGGGACATGGGCAGGGCCCTTCCTGCCTCCTTGGGACCTCAGGAGAGGGGAACCCACCCCACTCCAGGGAACCACAAGAGGCCACTGTGGGGTCTCTGGTCTGCAAACCGGGGCCTCTCCTGGGCGGTGTCCGGGGCACTGCAGACCTCACCGCTGGTCTTTCCGCCCCTGGCTCTGCCTGCCTCCCGCTTGCTCTGCAGAGCCGCCAGGGGCCCCTTTGCACCTTCAGCCTCAGCTCCAGCACTTTCTACCCAAGACCCTGGTCTCTCTGTGTCCCATCTGTCCCCCCACTCACAGCGGGCTGCGCGGGAGCGTTCCTCAGTCCCGCCATCTCCAGCCCCTGGTGGACATTCTGATCTCCCAGACACAGGCCCCAAAGCCATCCCAGCCCCACAGCCACAAGCCCAGGGGATGCTTCCGTGACCTTCCCCTGTTCTAGGGAAGGAGTGGAGGGGTAGCAAGGGGATACCCACCCAGGCCTCACCCCGGGGGCCGCGTCCGTGCCACGTCCAGGCAGGTACCGCCCTGTGACCACTCCTGCCCCTGGGCTATCTCGTGCTGGCATGTCCAGTGTGCATGGCTCGGCTGACCAGGGCTGACCATCGGGACCAGCACGGCAGCCACCCCCCCGCCAAGCAGAGCTGGCCCCGTGTGTTCCGCCCGGTCAGTGGCAGATGTTTGCTGGAACCAGACACCCCGTGCCTGACTCGCACCTCCCTGTGTTGGTTTGTTTTTTGCCACCTCAACGTCTGGCAGAAAATCTGAACAGCCAGGCTTTGCGGCCTTCGTCATCTGCTCTCGGCCACAGCAGAATCCAACTGACAGCTGCACCCCAGGACCACGGCCGCCCGGCCGTCCCAGGAGGGAGCAAGTCCAGGCTTTCCTTGATGTTACAGCATCATGGAGGCCGGTTTTCAGCCTGTCCTCTCCCTTGCCTGATTTTCTAACAAGCAGCAATCTCAGATTCAAAACCACGTTCTGCCCAGGCTGGCGGAAGGGCCAACTCAGCTCACAGAGAGGCCCAGCCGCGCAGCCAGCTGAGAGCCAGAGGCCATCCCTGGTTTAGCGCCACATCTCCATGCGTCACCCAGCATGTCAGAGGAAGCATGGAGAAGATGCTGGGCAGGATTTGGGAGCCCCGGGTACTGAGCGCCTGGCTGGCCTGGCTCGGGGGCCTTGTCCAGCTCCTGGGCCGGGCTCTGTCCTGACATCAGCTGGTCCGGGCACGTGGGTTTGACTCCCTCACTTTGGGGACACCAATCTCAGGGCTCTGTGTACAGCACCTGCCTGGCCAGGCCACAGTGGCCAACTGCACAGGGGAACAGCATTTGCTATCTGGCCAGGGGTGACTAAGCCTTCCCTCCTGGCCCAGAACACCTGGCTGGCAGACAGTGGGGCTGAGGGCAGGCTTGGTTTCTGGGTCAGGGTGGTCTCTTCTCCGACCTGAAGCTTTGTCCCTCTTCTGCCTTCCACCTTCCCCCTCTTCCTTCCTCCTTCCTCCCCGCCTTCCCCCTCTCCCTTCCATCTTCACCCTTCCTCTTCCCCCTTCCTCCTTCCTCCTTTCTCTTTCCTTCCTTCCTTCTTCCCTTTTCCTCCTTCCACTTTCCTCCTTCCTCCTCTCTCCTTCCTTCCTTCCTTCCTTCTTCCCCCTTCCTCCTTCCTCTTTCTTCCGCCTCCCGCCTTCTGTCTTCCACCACATGAGGCTGCAGCAAGGGAGCCTCCGTCCATGCCCACACGTTGACCACATCCTGCCAGGCCTGTGCAGTGGTGAGCCTCAGTCTCGGTCCTTATAAATCTCGCAGCCTGAGCTGCCATCACAGCAGGACACGTGGAACTAGCTCTGCCCCCACCTCTCACGGCTCACACTTGCCCCCGGCCCCAGGACGTGACCCCTTCCCTTGGGAGTGACACTTTAGGCCCAGAGAGCCCCCGTCACACTCCATACGCCAATCTGGGGAAAGGCCTCACTTCAACCCGTAACCTTGCTAACCCGGGAGAGGTCGTCCCTTCCCAGCCCCCAGAGAGACCCCGGGATCCACAGAGATCAGGGGACCGACACGGAGTGTCCAGACCCTGAGAAGGAAGAGGCTCCAGAATTCAGCTCAGAGAGAAGCGGGCTTGGGCCAAGGGTGCAGCCACGTCCACAGTCAGCACCAACCTGTAACTCCCAAGCAGCCCTGAGGGCCTGAGGGCTGGAGCCTGCGACCCCCAGGGGTCCTTGCTGGGCACCTGTGGGTGAGGGGAGCCCTTCAACCCTCCCACTCTTCGAGGTGCTGGCACAGAAAGGAGCCCTGAGTGAGGCCAGGAGCTCTGGGGACAGGGGTGTGGCCCAAGAGGCTGAGTCCAGCCAGGGCAGCTGACTTGAGTCCCCATCTTGCCATGGCTGGCAAGGTGCTGGGGTGGCCCAGATCGAGGCAGCTCCCTCAATGCCTGCTCCCTGGGGTCCCGGCTGGAGTGGCCCCCAAGCCCCCTGCCCCACACCCTGGGTCCTGGTGTGTTCTCTCCCAGTGCCCTTCCTGGCCCCACCTGGGAAGTCACCACCTGGGACTGGACTGCCCCAGGGTGCCTGCAAGTTAACTATTTTCGGTAAATGCCCTGTTTCCTTTTTGGGGCTGACTCTGCTCAAACATTGTTGGTTTAGGGCCAGTGGTGTGAGACTGGGCTAAGGGCTCACCTCTCTGGGCCACACCAGCCTCACCATTAGCACAGGTTGGGAATCACACCTTCCAGATGTTTCTGTAGCACCTGTGGGGTCACAGGTACCACTTTGCCACTGTGTGCTGGGACTGTGGGGTGCACAGCCTGGAGCAGCCTCCCCCACGCTGGACTCAGGGCTCCTTTCTGTGCTGGCCCCAGGCCTCAGCCCGTGCTGTGGGCACTCCTTGGGTTTCCTGTGATGGGTATGGGTGACATCCAGTCATTCAGGGCTGGCTTGACCCCCCACTCGCCATGCTCCCGTCACCTGTGACTGGTGTGGGTGACATCCGGTCATTCAGGGCTGGCTTGACCCCCCACTCGCCATGCTCCCGTCACCTGTGACTGGTGTGGGTGACATCCGGTCATTCAGGGCTGGTTTGACTCCCCACTGGCCATGCTCCCTCTACTCTGTCTCAAGCTCCTGCAGGGTTCTTACTGCCATCTCCTGGGCACTGTCCACCGTCTCCTACCAGCACACGACCCTGTGAGGACAAAGCCCTGCCTGCCCTACTCAGACAAGTGCCCAGCTCCTAGCAGTGTCTGGAAACACCTGTGTGCTGGTGGTTGGCTGAGCTACTGAGGGCTAAACCAGTGCCTAAGCAAAAGAGCAGGGCGGGTGGATGGGGCCAGGGGCTGTGGGATGCACACACCCTACGCAGCAGCTTCTCCTGTATCACCTCGTGGGAGCCTCTGAAGCTTCCTGAAGCTTCCTGCAGGCAGCCCAGAGAGGGGCCATACGGGGCCAGGTTGCCCACTCCATAGGGACACACGTTCCCAGCCCAGCAGGAGCCCTTGAGCAGGGGGAGCCGAGACGCAGGAAGCCTTGGTTTGCAGTGCACAACTTCTGTGCTGTGAATGCCCCTGTCTGCCAGCCTCCAGCTGCCCAGGCACCTTCC